AGGAGAGTTAGTTGCCAGTGGAGTAGCCAGGTACGGCGACCGCTGCCGCTATTCGCACGAGAACGGTGCAAGCAGCGCAGCTGGGAGTGGCGAGAAGAAGCTCTGCCGTGATTTTCTCAAGGGCAACTGCAAGCACCTTGCTGGCACTTGGGAAGTTGCTCATGCTCCGAACTCGACCGTGTGAGAATGATCACAGGACAATTAGCGAATTGGCATTGGTTTCTCTTGCTTTCGGTTTCAGTACTTGTCTACCCTTGTGGCCGGGTCTTTTGGTTGTGCGAGGCAAGCAGCTCGAGTGAGCGCTTGCATGTCGGGGTTGTTTTTCGTTCTCCATCCCAACCTTGGCAGTTTTGGTATCAAGTGAGTCACCTCCGTATGACATTGGTCTACTGTTGGTTTGGGAAGGACCTGGGGGGACGGAGAGTGACAAACGCGCCCCATGTTTGTCGGGGGACGGGCAACCCAACTTCCCTGCGAGGAACAATTCATATTGTTCAGGGCAGTGAGCAGTTCTTTCTTTCCCGGCCCCAGATATTTTCCTTTGCCAATGCCTTCCAGGGTCGTTAAGGCGACACAAATTAGCTTAGAGCTTGTCTGCCGAAATGGGTTTCTGGAGGCCCTTCTCACATTTCGCCCTGTCTCAAAGGAAGTTTGTATGGAAAGCAAACGGGCACCAACAAGAAACCAATAGGATATATACCCTAATTTTGTGACAAACCTGCATTTGGGCTGCCTGGCAAACAAACATGCAGTAACTTATGCCGGGTTTCATTATACTTGTTGTCCTATTTCCGAGTGCGTAATACGGTTTGATCTTCTGCCGGCACTGCGCATGTGTCGTGAATCAACTATTCAGCGCTCGCATCACTTGCACGTGGACGCTGCATTCTGTCAGGTATGGTGACCGCTGCAAGTACTCCCACGATCAAGGTGGCACTCCAGGAATGAGCTCGCATTTATTTCAGCACTTCAACTGAAGGGTTTCCCGGGCCTCGGGTTGATTGCATTCCGCAAGCCCGCGAGCTCGCCAAAAGCCCAAGGGCTGACTCAGTGGAGAAAAGGGGGGGGGGCATGATTTTGACTATTGGGGCTGGAGAGTGGGATTTTTTCCCTTTCGCCTCCAGAGGGTCTTTGGCAGGATCATGAGGCCAGTGAGGGGAGGGTGCGGAATTCGAATTCCTGGCAGGAGACCGCAGCCACATACCCTGCCGCCAGTTTCAGAAGGGCCACTGCGTCTTTGGCGACCGTTGCAGGCGGGAGGTGTTTTTTTGACGGAACAGGCAAGTGGAGAAGGGCGGATCAAGTCAGCTTCACTTGAGCCGCAATCAAAACCCGGATAGATGAAGGTTAGTAAGGGATAATCCCAACCATAAATAGCTGCGGCTGCCTTCTTAATTCTTTACATGGCTCTGGGATTACGACCATTTTAATACCGGGTTTTGATTGTGACTCGCTTTGGTTTGCTTAAAACTTGGGTTTTTCCTTTTGGTTCTGCGGGGAGTTCTCCCTGGCTTCTCTCAAAAACTCAGCAGCTCGAGGGGCGGCTGCTTCTCTTTTTTCCAGTCCTATGAGAACGATCTAAAGGGGGAAGGGTTGTGAGATCAAGGGGTTTGTCCCCACTTCTGTGATACTTTAGGAAATCCCTCCCCCCGCCGCCCCACCGTTATTTTTTGCTGGGGGGGGGGGGCGTTGTGTTTCGGAAGCCCTTTGTGCTGTATCACAGATCCGTGGATTCCATTTCAACCGCAGCCCTGAAAAGGGGTGACCGGGTGGGCCTCCAGCAGGTACGGCCACGACGGTGAGCCTGGCGAAGCGCAAGGCACGGAAGGGGACGCAGACCCGAGCAGACCCCCCCCAATGGACTAGGTCCAGAACAAGTTTCCTGGGAGGGTTACTAAAATAGACTACAGAAGTAGTGCAGAGGGTTCCGCCATGGACTTTTACCCCTTTTTTGGGAGGGTTCCCCTAAAATAGACTGCAGCAAAAAGAAACCTCCAAATACTGGAGGACCTAGTGTACCAGATTTCCATTTTGGGGTTACCCTATTTTTGACCCACAGCCATGTCTTTTTTTCTTTCTTGCCTGCCTTCCTTCCTTTCTTCCGTTCCCGTTTCGTCTTGTTCTCTCTCCGCTTTCCATTGGCCCCCTTTGTCACACGAGCGAGGCTCGGATGCCATCACCATTCCCATGGCCAGCGTCCATGTGGTGAAGAGGCAGCAGCTGAGCTATGAGGCACGGGGAAATCTTTGGGGGGGGGGGGGGAATTAACTCCAGGTCCCCCAGCTAGGTGCCCTTTTACCGTTTCTTTTTTGGGGAAGGGTTCCCCTACTAAAATAGACTACAGGAAAAAGGGGTACCAACCTATTCTAACCTCTCTACTGGGTGAATTATAACGACCTCACACGACCGATTTCACCCCAAATGGTGGGTTTATGTGGGGAATAGCCCAACCACCTTATATCAGGTTGGTGAAATATTATTGTGAACTAGAGGGGTTCATGTATAGGCAATCAAACCATGCACAATGGAGCCCGCTTCTGAATAGCGGCACCACAGGTTATGAGCCCAAACCCCTAAAACAGGGGCCCTCGCTCGGCAATGGAACCGACAAGGGCATCAGGAAGTGGAGAACCTCGAGAAAGGCTCGATTCTGCCGATGGAGAAGAACCGGAGGTGGAGAGCCTGGAGATCATAGGGCAGGAAATGGTGCCCTATGCTGGAGGCAGAAGGCCTCCGAGGAGGATGGTGGAGGTGGTGAAGCCGCTTGAGCTCACGGCAACACCACTCAAGCCAGGCCAGGGCGAGGAGGAACTCGAGGAGCCTCCACGCAGGTGGCCAAATGGACCGGAAGGAGAGCCAGAAGCCATGAAGCCTCTGTTCACCCCGGAGCAGCTCAGAGAGTTCAACAAGTGGGACGAGCAAGCACCGTTGCTGAGGGGACCGCGGATGGACCAACCGAGGCCGGCGCACTTGCCCGTGGAGAGTAACCTGGAGGGAGACATTTCGGGTGGTGGCCAACTTCGACCGAGGTACCTACCCATGGAGAATCCGGAGCCGGAGGGCCAGATGATGAGGATGATGGCGGCGTCTCAGGATACGAGGACGACACCATCGGCACCGGGAGTGGACCCGGTCTACCTCATGCAGATGATGCAGGAGCTGATGACGCGGAATCAGAGGCTTCAGCATGAGGTGGAAGTGTTGAAGAAACAAGGAAAGGAGACGGACGCTGACTACGGCACGCCGGAGAGCCGGGAAAAGGTGAACGGCGTGAGCACGGTCAGGGACAATCAGAACCACGAGCCCTACGGCCCGACCCGCGACCACTCGAATGGCAAGGGCGGAGAAGGCGGTCTTGCCATGGGGCTGGTGGTGAAAAAGGAAATGCTCGGGATGAGCAGGATGGCGGTGCCTCGGAAAGGGCAAGTGATGTGGCTGGATCCGGAAAGGACGGCCACCAAATGGACGTAATGTTGAAGCTCATGGAGGGCATGCAGATGATGCAGAAGCAGCTCCTGGAGCAGAAGGAGAAGACGGAGACCATCGAGACGGTCAAGGCGGGCTTCGCGGAGTTGCCTCGCCTGGGCGAGTTTAGCCCGGAGAATGGTCCGATAGAACTAGGGGACTGGTTCACCATCATCCATCCCCTGATGTCGGACCTGAGTGACAGCTCGATGGAATGGTGGGACCTACTCTTAAAGGAGGCCCGCAAGTGGTACGAGGAGTACATGAAGGAGATCCCGCTGAACAGGGTCAACATGGTGCCCAAGACGCCTGAGGTGTTGGGGGTACGGAAATGGAGTCGGTTGGAAAGGCGGGCAGCTTTGCTCATCATCCAGGCGGTTCCGGAGACGGAGAGACGAGATGATCGCCACGAATACGGTGTCGGCCTACGGGGCGATCTGTAGGGCTGGTAGTGTATCAACCAGGAGGCCTTGGAGAAAAAGGAGAAGTGGCTGAGGTGGAGGCGGCGGGCGAGCGAGATGAACTTGGCGTTGCCAGACCCTACGGTGATGATGAGGGGCCTCAGCAAGATGATTCGGAAAGCGGTGGAGACGAACCGGGAGCTGACGTTCCGGATTTGCCTTGCCCGGAACACGCTGCGGGTGGACAGCGTGCCGACGCATGGAACGGTGCAGCAGTTCGCGGAGCATGTGTTGGCCGAATTGGAACAGGGCAGCCAGGGGTGTGAGAGAAAGGTGACAAAACCCGTGGACGCCAAGATCCGGAAGGTCGAGACAGAGAAGGAGCAGGCGACGGGACGTAGAGACCTAGTTTGCAGGTTCTACATGAAGGACACCGGCTGCAGAAAGGGCCGGAGTTGTGAGTGGCAGCACCCCACGGATGAGACCGCAAGAGGACGCTGCTGGGAGTGTGGATCAGTGGAACACATGAGGAAAGACTGCCCCAGAAAGCAGAAGCCGACATCACCTGAGAAGCCGGCGGCTGTGAGAAGGGTGGCCCAGGAAAACGACGTGGCGACGACACCGGCTTCGGCATCTTCACCCAAGAAGGAGGAGATCAAGCCGACCCGGGAGAAGGAAACGGTGGTGGAGGATTCGGGGAAAGACGAACCTATGGGGGGGGGTGTTGCAGGAAGCAGCAAAGATGCTACGGAGCCTCAACGCCTCGCAGGGAGTCAAAAAGGTGGACGAGAGAAACGACCGCTTGGACGACCTGCAGAAACAGTTGAATGGGTTGAGATCTGGGTCTCTCAAAAGGGCCCAGGTAAACGCTCAAGGGAGGTGGAGTGATGGTGGGCTACTGGACTCGGGAGCAACGCATCCTCTACGTGCCCGGCAAGAAGGTGAAGACATCGAGAATCTGGACGAGATCGATGTTGCCCTGGCCGGGGGAGAGATGCGGATCACGGAGGGAGGCATCATCGTCCAGGAGAACGAAGGCGTGGGCTCCATCATTCCGTTGGGTCTGCTGGTGGAGAGGCTGCACTGCGTGGTGACGTGGGATGGGGATGAGTGCCGCGTGGTACATCCAGAGCTGGGAGCGTTGCGGATTCACATGGAGGATGGATGCCCCTATGTGACCCAGCGGACGGCGACGAAGTTGCTCGAGGAGCTTGAGAAAAAGGGGAAGGAGAAAAGGAAGGGCCGGATTAGCGAAGTAAAGCTAAAGAAGGTCCTGGACTGGGAAACGGTCAGAAAGGTGGTGGAACTACAGCCGGCGGAAACATTGCGGGCAATCCCATGGAATCGGAGACGGAGAAGGTCCTTGGAGCAGAAAGGCCGGAAAGCCATCCTGGACCTATACGCGGGACCCCGTGAAGGATACACCCTGGAAAGGGCGGTGAAGGAGCTTGGAGGCGACCGCATGGACGTCTTGGAGATTGACTTGCAGCGTGGGCCGGAGCACGACATGATGTCGGACGAACTCTATGCAGCCCTGCTGCGGGGCGCGTTGGATTCCCGTTTCGATGCGGTGGTGGGTGGACCGAATTGCCGGACCAGGAGTTATCCACTACCTGCCGGTGGTCCACGACCGGTGAGGTCACCGGAAGAGCCGTTTGGGAGGAGCGACCTCACGCCGCATGAGAAAAAGGCGGTCTGGGAGGACGACGTGATGATGTGGGAAGCATTTGAGGAGATGGAAGGCATGGCCGAGTACGAGTTCTACCAGGAAGACTTCGGAGGAGCGGCACAAAAGCCGACGACATTGGGGACCAACCTCTACATCGACCTGCCCGAGAGAAGGGTGACCGGGTTGGTGTCAAGAGCCCGGATGGAAGAGGTGGACCTCAGAGACTCAAAGAACCTCGCAAGGTGGGCTCCGGGACTCATGAGAGAAGTGGCGAGAGCGATTCTGACGCAGGTCAGGAAGCAGGTGGTGAAGCTGCGGAAGCTGAGTTGGCAGGAGCGCATCGCGGCGGGACATTGCCCGATGAGGAGGGACTGCCGAGTTTGTCAGGAGGCGAGTGGTCAAGACCGACCCCATAGGAGGATCAAGCACAAGCACGCCTACTGCCTTTCGTTGGATTTGGCCGGACCGCTGAAGAAAGGAAGAGACATCGACGGGCGGAGCTGCAGTGGGCGCGTACACATGGCCGAAGAATCCGCTGAAGTCTGAGGAGATCCCGGAGAAGGAACGAGATGGAGGTGGAGAAGCTGGCAAGGCGAAGGATCTGGAGGAGGTCAAGAAACCGGACCAACCCGGGCAACGACCGGAGGACTACTGGACCACCAGCGCCAATGGCAAGTACGTGATCAGGGTGCACAAGAGCCACCGGAAGGTAAGGTTCTTCCCTGACGATGCCCCAGGATGTCCGGTGCCTGTGGAGCGACTACGGGGACGGAGGAGGACCATAGCACGGACAACTAAGGATGGTCCGTTGAAGATGTTCATGGACGATTGGAGGAATGCCGAAAAGACGGAAAAGGTCTTTGAGGACGAGAGCCGATGGGCCGGGCGGACGATCTTCCAGCTAGAGGGCCCGGAGGAGGAAGAGCCTCAAGAAGAAGAGAAGGAAGAAGGAGACCCTGATGATCCGGCTGATCCAGAACCCCCAGAAGGGATCTGGGACTTCGAGCTGGAGGAGTTGGTCGGAGAACAGGAAGATGGAGAGATGGAAGAGGGCGACCTGGACGAGTACGAAGAGGATGAGGAGAAGAGAGAGGAGCCGCTGGAGATTGAAGTCCACACGCTGGCAGTGCCTCTCTCGACGAAAGGAGGCAAAGAAGTTTTGGACGCCATACAGACGATGTATCTGGAATTGAAGCGCCAAGGTTTTCCAGTGGCGCGATTGCATAGCGACAGGGGCAAGGAGTTCATGAACCATGCCTTGCGCCGGTGGTGCTTCAACCGGGACATCGCGAAGACGAGTACGGCGGCAGACGATTGGAGATCAAATGGGCGAGCAGAAGTGGCCATCAAGCACTTGAAGTCAAGAATGAGGTCGTCGGCACCGGTCGAAGGCATCCCACCTCCGTGTTGCCGCCAAAGTGGGGCAGTTCAGGGAGTAATGGTACCTGACCCCGTAGTCTGTGGTGAGCACCGGCTTCCAGTCCCTCACGATGACGGGGACCGAATGCTCCTCTTCTACGTCTTGCATCCGGAGCTCCTGTGCGAAGCACCATGTGCAGACATACCTTGCCTCTGCTCGACTTCCGGCGCACTCTCTGGTGTGGTGTGCGATCCTGTCCTTCTTGTTGAAGAACAGCTCTTCGTCCGGAATGTCCCACCTTTCGTTGTGCACCTTTTCCTCGATCTGGACCAGTTGCCGCTCTGGCGGTTGGTCCTCATTCCTCCAAGGCGGAGCGGGGTGCCTCCTCGCATAATCCCTCCTCCATGGTGCATTGATGATCGGCTTCCCTTTTCCTTTTCCAGAACGGATTCCACCCTTTCCTTTCTCCAACGGCCTCCTCATGGCATCTGGTGCTGCTTTTGATCTAGCACCCAATACTTCCGACCCTCCGCCACCTCCGGTAGTAGTGGATCTTCTCCTTATAGTTGATGCCGATGCTCTCGACGACGATGAAGCCTCTTCTTCCGACTCCTCTTCCTCGTCACCCGCCGGCATCTTGTTGTGTCCACGCATCGCCCTTACAGACGCATGTTCCCCTCTGCTTCTCTTCTCGCATGCCTCTTTCACCATCGCCGTCACCTTGATTGAAAAGGGCCACCAGGATGCCGAAGCCGACCAAAGGCGTTGTAGTCTCCCTGATCTTCTTCCTCGACTTTCTCCTCTTTCGCCGCCACTGCCTGGACTTGCATGCAGCATGCCAAAATGGCCAACGCCGCCTTTCCTTTTTCCAGGTCCACGAGCCCTCCTTCTTCTGGCTTCGGTGCTCCAATCTCCACCAAACCTGCCATCTTGCGCAGATCACGTAGGCGAGTTCCCGGCAGACACTTCGTGCCCATGTCGGCGACCAGATTGGCGCCCATCCGATGCACTATCCGCCAGTCCCCCATCTGCACTCTACCAGCATCTCCTGTGCACAGCGAGACCGCCGCTTGGTTGTCCCCGATCAACGTCCGCGAATAGTCCATCTCCGTCTTGATCTCCTGAATCAACGCGTCTACCGAGTCCCCAAGAACCATTCCCTCTATCATCTCCATCAGCTCGGACTCGGCCGTCGACAGCGTAGGGAAGCTCTGCCTCGAAGATCTCCACGCCAGCATTGATCCCTGCCATTTGACCATTACACAGCCATGGCTAATCTCGCCGCCTGGCGCGAAGCTCGCATCTGTGATGACCTCCAAGCCCGCTCCTCTACTCTTTCTTCCATCTGTGTCCTCCCCCATGTCCCTATCCAGCAGGATGCCCTCCGTCTTGGTCGCATTGAGGTACCGCAGTGTTTGGGTCGCGGTTCTCTGCACCCATCGTGGAGCCTTGGACACGAAACTCGACATTCTCGAAACCACGTAGGCCAGGTCAGGTCTACTCCGGGTGACCAGCCAAATCAACTCGCCCACCAGGCGCTGACCCGTCTGAATCTCCTCCGCCGTGATCCCGATCTCTGCCTCTGGCTCGCTGCACTCCTTGCTCATGGGGATCACCGACTTGCCAGTGACATTGTTCCGATCGATGATCTCCTTGATGTAGTCCATCTGGTCCAAGGTGATCCCCTGCTCCGTCACAGAGATGTTCACCCCGCAGAACCTTACCGGCTCCTTGCCGAACCAGCTCTCCTCTGATGATTCCCACGTGCCCTTGATCTTTTCCATGAGGGCCTGAGGCACTCCTTCCACACCCAACGGCATGAAATCGTCCACGTAGACTAGCAGTAGGCCGACCAGCTCCTCCGGATTCAAGTCGTCCTCTACCTTCTTCACCAGCCACAGATTCGGTTCGCTCCTCATCTGCTCCAACTTCAGCCAACGCTTGCCATAGCTGATTCTCCACCTCCTCATCTCGTCGTCCCTGTAGTCCGACCAGCACCTCGGACTCTGTCGTAGGCCGTACCTTGCCTTGTTGACGATCCACAGCTCCCCTTTCCTTTGGGTATCAACCCCATCCGGACCAGTACTGCCGGCGGTCGCATGGCCACCGTCAGCTCTCCTTCCTGGTCAACTGCCTGCAGCGGGGCATTCAGGAAGGCTCCTTTCACGTCCACAGTGCCTCCTTGCCACCCGCGAACCGCCGCTTCCTTCAACGCCAACCGCAAAGCCACCACGTCCGTGCTGATTGCACCCTTTTCTTCCACGATGGTGTCCAGCTCCTTTTTCATGGGTGCTTTCCAATCCTCCAGGTTCATCTCCACCTCCTTGGCACTGACGATCTTGGTCTGGAGTATCTGCTCCTCGTCTTTTTCCACCTCTGTGCTGCTCCTCAACTCCTCTTCTTCCTTCTTCAAACCTTCTAGGGCTTTCACCACAATGTCCATCACCTCCGGCTCGTCGTTCGTCACCGCCTTCTCCTCCTCCTCTATTGTGGATCTGAGCGCCCGCAACCTCACCAGAACCCCTTCGTCTTCCAACCTTCTTTTGGGTCTTATCTCTTATCCTCCTCCGGACACGATAGGGTTCCTCCGGCTCGCGCTCTTCTCCCTCATCACATATGGTTCCACAAATTGCCACCCGTCCACTGGCTCCGGGAGAGGTTTCCAGTGGTGCAGCACATAGGCAGCCACCTGGACTGTTCCATCGTCCACCACCGGGGCCAAATACTTCCCCTTGACGTGCCTTGGGCCCAGCTCCTCCGACTTCCACTTCCTTTTTTTCACCATTACCTCCTGGCAGAATCTGGGTATCGTGCCCTCTTTTCTCTGCCTTGTTCTCTTCTCCTTCTCCACCACATACCGAGCTGCAGCTGGCCACCACTGTCCATCCACCTCGGCTGCAAAGAGCACTCTCATGCGCCGGAGTCAGAGGGAGGGGGTACGCCAGGATCCCGGGGTGATGACCTACATCGAGGATGGCTTGAGCTGAGGGGCGGAACCGGTAGCGCAGGTGCAAGCCTAACGGATTGTACCTGGGAGGAGTGTGAACTAGAGGGGTTCATGTATAGGCAATCAAACCATGCACAATGGAGCCGTTTTTGTGTCGAGGAAAAGACCGCTTCTGAATAGCGGCACCACAATTATAATTCACCCAGATTGACTCAAGGGGGCTGAAGGATGCATGTCGATGATTCCCAACTAACCCAGGAACACCCCCCTATGAACAAACTGGGGTTGATGAAAGCATGGGGTTGACACCTACCAAGTCCTTGGTTTCCCCTTCTCATGACGATTATTTTTTGTTTTGTGTGTTTTTTTGGCCATCCCAAGTTCCCAAAGTCTTGTCATTTAGCCCCTCAGAAAACCAAAAGCACCCCGAGGGCAGGCACCTGGCCTCTTTTTTTAAGCGGGTAGAAACCTGTTTGGGGGTGGTTTAAGAGGGAAACCAAGGGGAAGTCAACCACTTTTTTTTGGGCTGCCTCATTTGGAGCCAAACACACAGACTGCAAATATGAGACTCGGTGAGTACTTCCAGTAGTCTATGCCTCATTTGAAGAGGCGTTGGGGTACGAGCTCTAAGTTTCCCACAAAATCAGGGGACTTGCCTAATGTGCCCTGTCCTCTTGCGGAAGCAAGACATTTTGACGGTGGCTCATTTGAGGCGCTCATTGTTATGAGCTATTACCTTTGCAAGCCTTACGTGAAAAGGATTGCCTAGTTACACAGCTCATATTTACTGATTTCTTTGCCAGCTCATGGTGCATTGTCAATCTTCAGCTGTTTCCTTTGGGGACCCTGCCCTCATTTTGGTGGTTTATGAACATGCTCATCATCCGCTGTTGGTGGGTGGGTCCAAGTGCAGATTACGTCATGCAAAGTGGTCGCTGGGTTGCTGACTTTGCCAGTGAACCTGTGCCTTGCTTTTGTGGGCCTGGAGAATGTTACAAATCCGCAAGGCCAGCGTCTGTTGGCATCTGCCGCGTGTGCAGTGCTCGTTGGTGGGGTTGAGCCATGGGCCATGAGTATTCGCTTTGCTGAACGGAAGAGCTGTTGGGCGGTCGAGCTAGACGCACAGACTCGCCTGCAGGAAGCGGCTGAAATGCTACAAACAGCGGAGACCGACTGCATGCAGAGGCGGGGGTCGGGTAGGGAAGGCGATGCCGAGGCAAGGGTATTTATGTGCCCTGTTTGGACGATTTCATCATCACCTTTTGGCTTTCAAAGTGAGTTTCCTTTGGGTGGAGTGATGTTTCCTGGCGACAAAAGGCACCCTGATTTGAAGCTGAACAAGTTCGCAGAGAATTCGCCGGTGCTGGTGCCTCCGTCAACCTACGGTGAGTCAATTATTTGGACCCACGATTGAACTTAGTCATGAAGTGGGGGTCGGAATGCCCCTCACCCAAAGGGACTTCCCTTAATACCAGGTGTGTGTGGGTGGGGGGGTGAGTGATTCGGAGCGGAGCTCGACAATGCGTTGCCCGCGGCCGTGACAAGCAACATTGGACTCCAAGGTAGGTCTTCCTTAAGTATTATTGGTAGAATTGTGGGCAGGGGATCAGTATTGATGCATTGCTTACTTGTTGGATTTGCTTGGCATGTCTTGATATTGGTATTGGCTCTCCAATGGTTTGGAATTAGAGGAGTACGGTACTTTGCTTGAAGCATAGGGCCATGTGCGTCTCAAGAAAGTAGCCTCAAGCAAATCTATGATCTCTTTACCGTCATTTGATTCACACATTTACAACTATCTCCCTTGGACGATTCTTGTTGCAAACCTGGCTGTTGTGCAAGGGTCTCATAAAGATGGCAAGAAGCGACACATGAAAGGCGCTGATGCCAAGTTTGCCTGAAGAAAAAAACACCATGGCGTTGTGCAATGCACATTCAGCCCCAAGATTTTGCCGGGTGTCTTGATCATCGTACCAACGTGCATCTCCTTGCCCCCCCCCTTTTAATTTTGTCTATTGGTTTGTTTGGGGGAGCAAGCAAAAGTTTGTCACAGGGGGGGGGTTCTACGCTATTAGAGGGGGCTTCTCACTCCTCTGTCCAAGGTTGAGGTTTGTTGCTCGCCGCAAGATTGAGGCAAAGACGTGCGAGGGAACATTGCAACAGGAAGGCTTAGGATCTCACATGTGACACGGCAGGTCACCAATTCTATATGAACATCACGTTGTCAGTTACTAGTTCTGAGCAATGGTCATTGCCTATGCTTGTTTGCTTGCTTGTTGTTGACATGTTTGCGTGTTGCGTGCGCCATCGCTTTTGATTATGGGAGTTTGCTCGTCCATTGTTTGATATGACTTGTTGTGTGCCTGATCAGTTTTATGATTGTTGAGATGTATGATGTATGTCAGTGTTCGCTTGTGATGTGTTTTGCGTTTTGGAGTCTTGCAGTGCTGTTTCATAGCACAGGCATGCAACCGTGAGAACAGCCCACATGCTTTATTGAGCACCGCCCCGATGCAAGACTCCTGACCACCACTTTACCCCCAAAGGCTCTACACAGGTCATGGCCAGAACAAAAAAAGCAAAGTTTCGAGCTAGTTTTAGAGAGAAGCCAACAGACAACCGATAGAAGAAAAACGAGCCGTTTGCGCTGGTTGGACGCGAAGCCAACGACAAATCACAAGACACCCCACCAGACATCCGGTGCATAGGTGTCCAATCCCCCCATGCCAGCATGCCAGCATGCCAGCATGCCAGCATGCCAGCATGCCAAGGAGACAAAGCGGCCATGTGGCAGACAACCCCCCCTGGACCTCCGAACAACTCAAGAAGGTGGTTACAAAACTAGACCATCTAGACCCGAGTGCAACACACGAGTGCTTCTTGGATATTGGGGTATACGTGGGAGGTGCTGGCCTCCGCTTCCCGGCGGTGAAAGCCAAAGCCCCAAAACCCGAAGCCCTGCTTTCTGGGGTTTTCTCGGAAAACAGGTTGCTTTCAATGAAGAAATTGTGTGAAGCATGTAGAACCATGTTAAATGTTGTTTTTTTCTTGTTTTTTGTGGTTTTTTCGTGTGAGGTCATGAGCCAGGGTCTGAAGATCGGTGGATCTTTCCGCTGCTTTCCGCAGCTTGACACAGTTTTTCGCTGCGAAGGTTGGAGGCGCTGGAAAGTCAGCGCCAGGACCTCTCGGCGGAGGTGCAGGCGATGGAGCCGGAGGAGTCCGGTGTTTCGTCGAACAAATCGAAGCGAGGGGTCGAACCTTAGCCGTGGTAAGGTGGGCGTGGGTCAAAATGATTTCGCCAGGAATTGGACGGTTTTAGTCCTGAATTCCATTTACCAGGGTACCAGTTTGGGTACCCGTTTTTGACCCACAGCCAGGTCTAAAGACGAAAGACCGAGGGAGGCGATTTGGTTGACACAAGCCTCCTGGTTTGGTTCAGTTTCTGGGGTTTGGACTTACAGGGGAACCGAACAGCTCCACCAATCCAAACCCCAGAGGGAAGCGGAAATGGGGCAAGCTTTGTGGGTTTGGACCTTGGGGGTGGTCAAAATAGACCAATAGGAATCGGGAATCGGGCCCTAAGATGGCTGGCGTCCATTTGTTTCCTTTTAAGATGGCTAATCCTCCCCCATTTCCCTAAACACAAAGCCACCTGCCCCACACCTACCCCAAACCAACCCTGCACCAACCCAAACCCCATCGGAGCTTGTAAAAAGAGGGGTGTGTGGGCCTCACATGTAATGATGCGTTGAATAGGGGAGTTGAGCGAAAAACGCACACTGCAACCAAACCGCGCAAGCTACACCCTCTACATCCTGGAAGCGGACACCTGCCGTGTCCCTGCATTCTGTTCTTGGCGGGCCGTTGGGTGCCTTCGGGGGTGGCGCAGCCTGGCCGCGGCAACCCTATCATGGGCAATGGGCAGAGGCTTTGATGATTGAGAAACTAAGAGCGCTCACCTCGTCTAAAGCGCTCCCAACCAATGCAGCGCTTGGTCTCAAAATCGGCTTGTCCAACGCCGTCAGTAGCCACGGACGCTCATCATTCCAGTCGTGCTTACACTCAGCAAGGCATCCGCATCCCTTGATCGCTGAGAATCCCTGGATCAATCCTGCGCCTCTGTGTTTCTACCGTCCATGGGGGCAACTGGAGATGGACCAGAGAGGTGGCGGTCGCCTTAGAAACGTGAACTTTTTGTCGGCTCCGGCGCTGAGCTTGCCAAGCCCTGGGCATTTTGCCTTTCGCACCGCTGGCTATGAGTGGCCTGGAGATTGCACGGCGTTGCGCGTGCAGGGGCTTGGTCGGATTGTTTTCCTGACGTATCATCTTTGCGCAAAGCGTTGAATTTCCTTTTGGGTTGAACGCGTTGTCATAGCTTGTCGCTGCTTGTTTAGGGTATCCTTGGGGCTCAGCTTGCAGAGCTTATTGCGACATTCTACGCTGAAGCAACTGTTTCAGGGTTGTGGGATCAAAGGGTTTCTCCCCACTTCTGTGATACAAGGGAATCCCCCTTTCTATTCTCAAAATAGTCTTTGGGAAGCCCTTTCTGTTGTATCACAGAAGTGGTCATTCCCCACAGCCCTGAACTGTTTTGTCGGAGATGGCAGAATTTCGCTTCAGCCCCAAACCTGAAGAAACCCGAAACGCTGAACCCGCCCGAAGCCCACCCTAAACGGGTCCATTTTAAGCCCATCGCAACGCACACGAATAAACCCACCCTTAACACCCCACCTTACGCCACCCGCAAAATGCACGCAGACGTCGGACAAGATCCAGCCATTGATGTTCGGGACCTGGGGATCTCGAATTTCCAACCTCGTGGAAGGCCGAATTGTCCCATGTCCTTAAGAATGGAGTTGGGGAGGGGGAGTTTGACCTGAAACCTCAGGGGGCCCTGAACAATAGCATTTGTTGCTTTTGGCTCCCTTTCGAGCCAACCTCAAAAAGGGCACCCCTAGCAAAAATACTCTTGTTTGGGAGGGAGGGCGACTTTTTTGGAATGGGACTTGGGCGATTCAAAACAAAATCCCTGTTCAGCGTTGACACAACCCCCAAAAAACGCGGGCTTGGTTTAGCCCTGGAACCCAGAGGCGGGGTTCCTCCAATGTCTGCCTTTGCAACACCCAGGAACTTGGTTGGAAAGGATGGGCCCTTGAAT